GTCCTTTCCCAGCAGGGGCCCACCCCCCATGGAGGGCAGGTGACCCAGAGGAGGACCGCAGGGCGCAGGCCGCCATCCACACAACGGTCCGTCCTCCCTCTCGCCGAGAACCCAGGGCCCCAGGAGTCCTGCAGCAGCTGTCTGCAGAACGCTCCCCCTTGTGGCAGTGGACTCAAGCCACAGCCTCTGCTGGCTGCACGTGTACATCCACACCTCAGCTGCAGCGGCTCCAACCCAGGGCTGCTCCACAGACAGCTCACCGCTGGGTGGCTTCCACTGAGAGGGAGGGGGAGGGGAGAAGGGCACAGGGGTCTATGTGAGTAAAGATGCACAGACGCGTAAAAGTGTGCATGTGGGTGCCTCATTTCCTTGACCACCCTCACTCCACTCCTGAGTGTGTCCTATAAATCCTAATCAATCTTTCTCATGCCTTCCTTTACTGAACTATCCTGAAAAGTGTCTTTCTGAGACAGAAGTCAGCAAACATGCACACTTACTTTAAAGGAGTTAAGTGCCTCACTTCAGCGCAGGGACCCTCAGGCCCAGCTGTGACAGTTCCAGTTAGGATTTTTGACCTTACAGTGCTGTGAAAGCAATATTAATGAGTAGAAACCAAACTGTAAATTTTGAATGTCGATCCCTCATCAGGCCAGCAGCATGCAGCATAAAGATAATATTCTCTTTCGATGCTGGACATTGGCAGCAAGCTGCTGTGTGATCACAGGTACTGTCGTGTATGGTGTTGCTAAGCTATGATTTTGGTAGGTAAGATTTACTAAATGCTTTTTTCACTTAGGATATTGTTTTGTTGTTTTTGTTTGCTGTTATTGTTGCTGCTTTGCTTTTTGAGATAGGGTCTTGATATATAGTTCAGGCTGGCCTTGATCTAGCGGGGATCTTCCTGCTTCAGCCTCCTGCCTCAGTGCTGGGATTATAGATGTGTGCCACCATGCCCAGCTCAGGATGTTGTTTGGGTTTACATGACCCCACTGTAAGTCAAGAAGCATTCGTAGAAAAAGCAAATTAGAAGAAACAAACAGCCTGGAGAGAAAAATACTGTTAAATAACCTATTAGTATTAGGTATGTAGCTCTTGCCTAGCAGGGATGAGACACAGGATTTGACTCACAGCCCTACAAGAACACAAAACCAAAAAAAACTATCATTTCAAAGAATAAAAACAATGAAAAATATAACAAAGGAAAAACTCAATATAACAATGAAGCATAGGCCAGGCATGACTGTAATTCCAGTACTCTGGGAGGCTGAGGCAGGAAGATTGCAAATTCAAGTCCATCCTGGGCAATTTAGCAAGACACTGTTTCAAAATAAAACATGAAAAAGGCTGGGAAGGTAGCTCACTGTGAACATACTGGGTGGGATCCCCAGTACAACAAAAAAAGTGTCCATGTGTATGTAAAATTTATATCACAAGGTATGTAAAGTCCTACAGCACATGCAACGATGCAAGTGTCTGTAAAATAACACAGTCAAGGGTGATGCCCATCACCTCAGCTGCTTCTAATTAGAGCAAGTCAGTGTCCACCCCAGCCAAAGGGAGGGTGTGACTCGCTGGGGTCACCTTGGTCGTGTCTGCCATAGGTGTGACAAAGGGCATTTCGACTTTTTGAAGCTGCCAAGAAAATTTTAAGGTGCAGCACAAATCTGGGAAGCAGTGACCCAAGGACCTGTGCTGTCAGGAACCCCAGAGGCCCGTGGAGCCTCCTGCAGCCGCCGACCGCCAGCCGAGATGCAGTCTCGCTCGCTCCAGTGGTATCCGCAGACATCTGTGGGCTCCAGGAGCAGCTGCACCAGGGGTTGGAAAGGGGTTGAACTGCCTGCCTGCCTGAATCAGCAAGTCATTGCAAAAGCCATCTGTCCATATTCTTATACTAACAAAAGCAACTTCCTTACATACTTTGAAATGCAAAGAGAAGTCTACAGACCGAACTGTGCTTCTCAACTCACTTGGTGAAGCTCTAACTCCCAGGGAGACAGTGTCTGGGGAAGGGTCGCTAGAGGCCCAGGCTCTGGTCTGATCCCCACTGTGTACCCTGGGCAGCACTCAGCTACATGACCTCTGACAACCAGGAGGCAGCATGGCAGGCACACCATGAAACCTGCCCCTGAGGGCACCCTGGCCCTGAGCTGCAGCCTCTAGACCATGAGGAAGTTGTTTAAGCCATCCAATGTTTTGTTGTAGCAGCCAACTAGACTAAGAAGCAAATGAGAATATTTTAAAATGAGTAGAATATATATATAGGAAAATAATATTATAATCTTTGGGTACTAGGACATCATTTTAGCAGTGCTGGGGATCAAACCCAGGACCTTGCACGTTAGGCAAGTGCTTTAACACTGAGCCACACACTCTCAGCCTAGGACATCATTTTAGAAGGAAAAAAATATAAATATAGTAAGGTCAACACGTTTGATCATATCTAAAAGACTATGTTTAAAAAGCGCCTGGGACCCGTGCACCACTGATCCTTGACACAGGAACAAAGGAAACATGGTGACCAAAGACGGTGTTTTCAGTAACAGGTGCTGATACAACCAGACAGCTGTATTTTTAAAAATTGAATCTAGACACAGACCCCTCACAGAAAACCAACAAAAAACACATCACAAACCTAAATGTAAAACGCAAAACTAGAAAAGCGGTAGAAGGAAACAGGAGAAAATCTAGATGACCCTGGGTAAGGCAATGTCTTCTGAAATACAACTCCAAAGTCATGATCCATGAAAGAAATAACTGGTAAACTGGACTTAATTAAAATTAAAAATCCAGCCCGGTATAGTGGTACATATCTGTAATTTCAGTACACTACGAGGCTGAGGCAGGAGGAACATAATCTTTCAGCCCAGCCTGGGCAATTTAGAAAGACCCTGGTTCAAGAAAAAAAAAATTAATAAGGGCTATGGATTAAGCTCAGTGCAAAGGCCCTGGATTCAACAATTGCCAAAACGAATTTTTAAAAAATCTAGGCTGTGTTAAAAACACACTATTAAAAGAATGAAAAGACAAGCCACAGATTGGGAGAAAATATATATAAAAGATATATCGGACTCCATTCAAAATATACAAACAACTCTTAAAACTTAACTGTAAGTAAACAACCCAATTTAAAAATGAGCAGAAGACCTGAATAAACACTTCACCAAAGAAGACACATGGGAGTAAACACACAGACAAACACACAGTTTAGCTCAGTGTTTCCACTGCTTGCCTTGCAAATGCAAGGTTCCAAGTTCAACCCCTGGTACCAAAACAAGCACACGGAAGACACTAACTTCTTCTGTGGCTGGGCTGTCCTTGTACTGCCCCTCCCGAGTCGGAATATTGAAATCCTGACCCCTAAATTGACAGTGTGAGGAGGTGGGGCGTTTGGTAGGTAAGCCAGGAAGGTGATGCCTTCAAGAATGGGATTAGTGCCTTTAGAGTTGCTTCTTTTTTTTTTTCTTTTTTTGCAGTATAGGGAACAGGGTACACTCCCAACCCAAGAGACAGCGATCACTTGCCCTTTGGCCACGAGGTTAAAGCGAAAGGAGAGCTGTCTGGAAGCAGCCCTGACCAGCAGTGGCTTGAGCCTTGTCCTGGGCCTTTCTGGCCCCCAGAAATGTGAGAAACAGATTTCTGTCTATGCTCCTTCTGCGATAGCTACCCCATTGGCTAATACAGCATCACGTGTCATTAAGGGGCTACAAATTAAAACGTCTAGATAGATAACTACTACCGTAACTTCTAACATGAACAAATCCGAAACACTGACAACACTAAATGTCTGCAAGGATGTGGAACACTGCAAAGCAGTGCAGTCACTCTGAAGGAAAGCTTGGCCGTTCCTCACAAAACTAAACACTCCCTAACCAGTACCACTCCTTGCTGCTTACCCAGATAAGATGAAAAGTTACATCCACAAAGCCTGACCAGAGATGTTTATAGCAGCTTTGCTCGTAACTACCAAAACCTGGAGGCAATAGCCATGTTCTCCAGCAAGTCAGTGGTACTCCACTTGACAAAAGATTGTGCTGTACTAAAAGAAACTAAACCAGACATGGTGGCCCATGTCTGGAAACCCAGCATTCAGGAGGCTGAGGCAAGAGGATCCCTGCAAGTTCAAGGCCAGCCTGGGCTACATACAGAGTTAAAGACCAGCCTTCACTACCAAGTGAAAGCCTATCTCAAAAACAAAAACAATAAATAGATGAATGAAAGAAACTATGAAGCTTCTGACAGGCAACAGAGGAGACTTACAAGAATATAACAAAGCAAAAGAAATGGAAAAGGTCACATAACATAAAGACCAGACCAGCAGGGCAGTCCCCGCCTGTAATACCAGCTCTGGGAAGGCTGAGGCAGGAGGATCACCCAAGGCCAGCCTAGATCTCATAGTGAGCTCAAGGCCAGCCTAAACTACATAGGTAGGCCCTGTCTCAAAAAAATTGGGGGAGAAAAAAAAAATCAAGCTGAGGAAGGGGTGTCCAGGGCTCGGGGAAGGAAGTGCAGGTGCTCCGTGTGGTACAGCAGGGCAAGTCCGCGATGTCACACGGGTGTCTAGACCCACTGCTGGCCAGCACCACAGCAGTGCAGAGACCCTGGGCAGCAGTTAGCCGCTCTGAGTGTAATAAACAAACCACGCCACTGCAGTGTCCATACTGGGCCAGTGTGCAGGGGACGAGTCACATGGGACTCTGCTTTCGCTCACCCTTTCACTCCCAAAATAAAGTCTACTAAAAAAGTATTCATCTGTAAGTGGTTAAGGGTGAAAAGATGAACCACAAAGGGCAAAATGTGTTTCAAATGTAGTTAACGGATAACCGCAAAATTAAAAATTAAAAATAAACTTTATTGGAAAGCTAGGGAGAAGGCACGCAATTTCAAAATGCCGGAGACAACGGGGATCTGCGCATCGTATCTGGAGGGGTCCCTGGAGGAACGACCAGGAAGCATACGGAAAAGGGGCAGAGGAGCGGCCCGGCCTCCAGGGGCGCCATAGCGCTACCCGCTGCACGCGGCAGGCACCAGCCTGACTCACCACTTCCTCTTCCTGGAGCCAGGGCTCATGGGAGATATGCAAATACCCCCAAGGTACCATGGGAGTCCTTTAAAGCCGAAGTGGGCGGGCCCACTTCGCCGGTCCTAGGCGCTGAGGCTCGAGGCTCGAGGCTTGGAAGGTGAGGGGCACTGGGAGGAGTGGGTGGCCTGGGGCCGGGCCGAGCCGGGGCCTGAGGGGACCGGTCCCTCGGTCCTCGTGGACCACTTGGGCCAGGGAGGATTCTTGCTGCCTCTTCCAGGTCCCGAGCTCCACAAGCAGGACTGACGAGTTTAGGAGCTGAGAGCGTCAGGGTGATTGGCGAGGTTGGGGGTTCACCAGTGGACCCCTGACACGCGTGGCTCAAGCCGAGTGAGGCCCAGCCAACTAGCCGGAACCCCCACACCCCTCCACGCGGAAACCCCAGCAGCCTGCCCACCAGGGGGCGCCTGACCCCGCTTCCTTTGCCTTCCCAGGTCGGAGCGGTGCTCAGCTGGAGAAGTTTCCAGAAGCTCAAGCTTCCAACCTCGGCAGGTTCTACCTCCAGGTCTCCGGGCAAGAAACACCTTCCTGCTCCTGCCTTCTTCCTCCCCCGCCCCACCCAGCGCCTCACTAGCAGCCGGGCGCCGGTCCTCCCAGTCCGCAGCGAGCTCCCCCTTGCCCCTCACCCCGAGAGGCAGCAGCGTGGCCATGTGCCCCCCGGTGGCCGTGCGCAAGAGCAGAGAGGGCATGACCTACCTGTACGCTTCCTGGCTGTATGAGCTGAAGCACGGAAGCCCCCTGGAGGTCTGCTTCACTTGCTTCAAGGTTGCCTTCATGGACCTCAAAGACATGCTGGAGTCGGAGGACTGGGACGACGAAGAGTGGGACCCCATGGAGCTGGATGAGGCAGAGCACGAGCAGGCAGTGGCCCTGGGGCCGGGGCCAGAGCCGGGGCCGGGGCCTGGGCCTACCAGTCAGACACAGCCCAAGTTCACACAGGTGTGACTTTCATACATGAAA